TATTGGATAAATGTCATGTGATTGATAAGTGAACAAAATTTCGGACTGTTCGGTCTTTAGGTGTCTTGCACCATAGTGCGAAGAACAAGTTTCTAGTTGCATGGGCACGTCGTTTGAATGTCAATGATTGATGTTACACGAACGTTTGATCATAGGACCAGGTAAGTATGTAGTGGAACCACCATTTTTACTATTTTTCACACACATATAACCCCATATATTAATTTTATTGTAAATAAATATGTAAACTAATGGTTTTTTCTTACCAATGCCAGTTAAATTTAATATGAATTTTATGGACAGCATGCTTGTATAGCAATAGCAGGTGAATAAGAGCATGGAAGCCGACAATGACGTATTCCTCTCTGAATTTGCTGCGGAACGATAGGTGTCACCAACATTTCCAAGGATCGGCAGCGGAAATTAGAACAACGGAACACAGTTGATTAGAATGTAACAAGTAAGACAAGTACCGAACGGTGATACGGACGGCAAATAGTTACGCGGACAGCAACTGCTGTTAGCGCAGCAACAGCAGTAGAACAATAGTAACGGTAGATTTAGATCGATGCTAAAAATAGATCAATTAGTAGACGATAACAGCTTAGAATTCGTTTAGCATCGGTGTGTTCGCCTCCTTTGTTCAAGTCAATATTAAAGTCCTTTATATCGAAGACGTTCGATTCCTTTTATTCTTATTAATAAATGAGTATCCATTTACTCTGAAACGATAATTCTTTCCCTGAATAATCCGTTATATTTATAATCCGTATGACGGCAAGATCGGTCATAATACTTGTTCCGTGATCGATCGAGTGGCATTAGGATAGTTAATTATTATTCTCAACGCGTTAATTTATTATTAAGACCCCGACCTACAGACTACCGAGTTAATCCACCGGTATAGAGTAGTTTAGTTTCTCGAGAATAATTACGAATACGTCAGCACTGAAAAGCCTAATTAAAAGGTCACTAACTGTTTGTTACGATTTAGCTATCGCTGAGGTGAGCCACACTCCTACGACGGCGCAGCTAGATCCCAAACCGAGACAGTAGTTATCCGCTCTCCCGTGACTATTGCCTCGACGAACATCACTTTATTTGATACATCAACTAGATACACTACTCACTTCAAGCATTCAACTCAGTATCTGAACTTTTTCAGAATTCTTTCTGGTATATTTGTTCTTTTCATTGCATCCTCAACATTTTCGAATGGCCTTTTGTTCCTTTCAAGAAGTATATTATCAGCATCTTTAATTTTTCTGACAAACAGCTGCAGACATATATTACTGGCAGTATTAATGTTCATAGACATATTATTTGTGATAAAAATGCTGCCAGCAAAAATTCCAAAGTAGTCAGCCCAGTTTCGTCCATGTACTATTCCAGAGTTGTTTGATGGCTCAACATCCAATGCATCATCAGGTGTGAAAAGTAAAAGAAGTCATTGTCAGAAGCAGCCTTACTCTTTTCTTTATCAAATAGCATTTGAGTAACCCTTGATTGTTGAAGATAAAGTTTGAATTGTTGAATCTCATTTGAAGGACTTTGTGTGTCCAAACTACAGAAGACATCACCAGAACCTAAATCTTTTGCATTAAGAATAATATGTTTGTGTTTTTGAACATCAATGACACCATACTGGCCTGTAATGGGTTCCTTAGAGATGGACCTTAAATCTGCACAGTGAACAGCATGATCCAGCTGTAGGTGTAGGCAACTCACAATCAGCACTTGGGATGAATTTGAGGAATTCAGTGCTATTTTGCATTGCATGAAGTCTTATGCCTTAGATGAAGGTGAATCAACAAAGATCTCAGAAATTCACTATGGTGCACAATTGAATGGTGACATCAGTTTTAAAAACCATTACCTTATCTGGTGCTTCATAGCTCTCTGTAATGTGTTTCAAAGACTTTTCAGGAAGAAGCTGCAGAAGCATCCGACTGCCAATAGCCTCAAAGGGATATTGCTGTTCTTTTGCTCCTAAGACAGTACCGTTTTCCAAACTAACATGAAACACCCAGGCGTTCTGCAGCTTGTTCTTCAACTTTTCATTGTTGATTCCAAGACACTTGATTACTGTTTGGTGGAATTCTGTAGCATGTCGAGATTTTCCTGTGCCAGCTCTGGAAAGGAAGAGATAAATTGGCAAGTCACCTTTGTCCCGGGAACCAAGACAATGTTTCTCATAGTGTCGCTCAAGTTCACAGTGCAATATATGGTGCAAGTCTGGTCCAGGTTGATACTCCCAATGCAAACCATCTGTGTATAGGAGTGGTTGTGGTTCCACATATGGCAAGCCTTGGAGGAAAATATCAGCTAAAGTTAGCATGATAATGGAAGACATACTTCAAAATTTATTATTATAGGGCTGTTGATTACACACCACAAGGAAAAGCCTCAATTATAGATTGTTTTCTGTATTAATACCGCCCAGCAACAACAATCAGTGATATTAAGAAATTATTCAGTGACATTAGGAAATTTATTCAACAGTGTAAAACTCCGATCACTCGAGCAATATAGCAGGAAAGGAGAAATTACAAATACAATCCATAGCATTTGACGGAAATAAAACGCGTTCTCAACGACGACCTTTTTTGCAACTGTTATAGTTTGAACACAAAAGTCCGACGTATTGGCAATGATTTTAGTGAATTGGTTATTGGGAGACGATTGATGAGAGCTTCTAAATCATGTTTTAAAATTTCGGTTTCCAAACTTGTTTGTTTGTAATGATAAAAAGCGACTTGTCAACCAGGGGCGTGGTAGAAATTCAGGGCATTTTTCCCTCGGACTAAAGCCACCACTGGGTGCTCACCCGAAAGGTATCATGTACAGAATTGTTCACAAAGGTAACATTATGCCAAGCAGTATCAATGTAATGAGTTGCATTAAAGACACAGTTTTAGAGAATTTGCTCAACATAAAATTTTTACGATAATGAGCCTAAAATTCAAATCAATTCGAATCTTAATAAAGCGAACGCCTTTGCATAAAATATACTATGCATACCTTTAAACTATAAATTATGCCTTGACTCAAAGGCGGAAGAACAGCGGTAGAAGGAAAGAGAAAATAAAGTCGAACGTTAAATAAATTATCTGCATCAGCCACTGGCTTTATCTAATAGCAAAAGAATTTTTTTTCTATTCGCAAGTATTGTCCGAGAATTTAGATACGAACCAAAAATGCTTTTTGCATCCATGCTTTAACATTCCGGTAGTACCAACTAGCAACGTAGCTTTGCTTATATTCTTCAGTGCACGTGGTAAATTTACTGTCAAACCGAATTCTTTTGCACATACCAAGACACGTTCTGTTATTATTCAGGTTAATGTCATCACGAATTAATGCATGCTCTACCAAAATTTCATTGCATCACCAACTCGATAATGGCTTTCAACTGCACATTTACCTAGCGCTTATGGTTTCCGTCTCGATTACTAATCGAATTTCTTTTGTCTCAAAATATCAGTGACTGTCTCTTTTTGCTCGAGTACAAGATTAGCTCTCGTACGTTTGCATAGTAATGCTGTTAAGGAAACGCGTATTTGTTTGTCATATTACTGAGAAGCATCTTTTCGTTTATTATTTAAATTGATAAGGTCAGGTCATAAGTTGACATTATAATTTATTAACGAAAAATGGAATAACAGGGCGAGCCGATCGAATCTTGATGCGTATATGGACAACAAACTTTGTTTACACGACTTTTATATTAGCAGATTTGTAAAATAATGTCATTAATAAAAGTATGTTTATTGTTGCTTATGACGTGTTTGACTAAGTTATCGCATTAAAAAACTTCTCGGGTACAACAACGTTATACCAAAAATGCGTGTTTCATCTTCCGGCTAGTTGTATGTAAATATAGCAAACTTTAAGCAACTCTCTTTCTATTGCTACACAAAAACCCGCTAGAAAGGAGCTGTTGTCAATTCCCTATGCTAGTCCTGGCTTTTTACATAGTTGATTTGCAATTTTTAATTTTAAGGATACATAGGCAGGCTCGATAAGTCGGACCCAGGTGGCTGGTTTGGTTGACCGACTTATCGAGGGAGACCAACTTACGAATCCACGTGATTTATTTAGTAAATTTTTATTTTTATATGTATTAATAGCAAGCGAATGGAAAAACCATTACAAGTAAAACTCGATATAAGAAGCTCTTGATATAAGAAACAATAATTAAAATTTGATATAAGAAAGTTGAGCTGAAAAACAGTCTATATAAAATTATCTCTATATAAGAAAGTTACTAATAAACTCTCGGTATAAGAAGGATTCTAAAATTTTTTACTATGGGTCCCAATTACTTTTTTATATCGAGAGCCACTTGTATTCTAAATAAATATCCCATGCTTGTTTGTGTTGAATAATTCGTTCGTTTTTCTCGATTTCCTGCTTTAAGTGTCTTAAGCTTGAAACAAATGAACTGTTTACTCGTATATCATCATTCTGCTGCAAATAATTATGTAAATTTTGAATACTTTCTATAGCCATTTTGTTAGATACAATAGAAACCTCGTCTTTGTCGTTATCTTCTCCCTCACCCTCAGGAGCTTCTCGGACAGCTGCAATAATTTCACTATCATCAGGAATATTGTTTTGTTACTAAAGTATCATCAATTTCAATATAATCCTTATGACGGAATCGATATCGTCAACTATTCGATCAATAAGCGATTGTACGATTTTATCTTCTATCTCACTATTATTATCTGGTGGTTCATAGTTAATGGCTTCCAACTCATCAGGCAAAATATCAGCTCTCTCCCAGCACCTATATATTACGTGCAGTAAAATCGTAACAGAACATTAAATTAGTAGCATACAGTCAGATGTCGTGCAGACCTGTGACTTGTATTACACAAAGCACGAATAAAAAATTTTTTATATGATCGACTGTACTGAAATAGTAATGATGTTCTCTAAATATCACGCGAGACCGACTTATAACAGTAAAAGAGGTTGACCGACTTGACCGAGTTAGGCCAAAACCGACTTATCGAGTCTGCCTATGTACTTTTATTTTGATATAGACAGTCGTTGAGTGCGTTACATATTAAACTTATTCTAAATGAATCATACCATTTCTTTGTTATTCTGCTTTTTCTGATTTTAAGTTAACTCAGAAATTGGTTTTACAGTAACGTGATCGCATGTAACGACGTTGGTGTTGTTCACATGATTAAATAATCCGATTTCGTATGCTCAATAACCTTCTTTATTGAATCTGCTAAGAGGAAATTTCGGCAAATATTTGCTGTGGTATGCTACGAGGTACATGTCTTTGGTTTGGATTTTGTAGATAGTTATAGATCTGTTCATATTCAGTAGTGTT